GGCTCCAAATGTGAGAAGCGTGTGCAGTGATTGAGACACAGGTCCTTGGGGAGGAGGCTGATGTGCAGAGAGACCCTCTTTTTTTTTTTTTTTTTTTTAATTTGGTTTTTTTTTTTTTTTTTTTTAATTTGGTTTTTAAAGGTGAGTTGTGGGCACACTCTGAAATTCTCTTGTGAAAATTGTCCCACAGTGCTGACTTACAGCAGTTAAGGTGACGTGTAAGTTGCACTGAGGCTGGGCAGTGGTCCCTGCAGAGTGGAGCTGCCGCCCAGTGCTTCCTGGCCTCCCTGAGCCAGCCCAAGGTGGTTGCTCACGCGCAGGCTGCATCCTGCCAAAGCCCTCAGCTTTGTGCTGCCAGTCGGCTCCTGGAGAGGTCACCACGCAGCTGCGCAGTCAAGAATAGCACTTTTCCCCTCTTCTAGAACATGAGCTTTCCAAAGCTCTTGCCGTGGAGCCTTGCAAGCAAGTTGAGCCTAATGAATGTAGAAATAAGATTGTGGTACCATGTCATTCAAAAACTGGAAAGTATCTTTTAGGAAATTTGGCCATCTGATAAAGTGCCCCCAGCTCATGATATGGGTGTGCATGGAATTAGTTGATGGTTTGCTGAATCTTAAAAAAAATTTTTTTTTACCTTTTATTTTTATTTATTTGGTATAGAGTCTCACTATGCAGCTCTGACTCTAGTGATCCTCCTCTCTCAGCCTTCCCAGCCCTGGGCAGTTGATGGTTTCTTACTCTGGTATTTTGGAAACCTTACTCTCCCTCCAAATATATATAAAAAGGAAAATAAGCAAAAATATGGAGGGAGCAATTCAAATGTGATGGGTAAGGAGCTGGGGAGATAGCTGAGTTCAATCCCCAGTTCTGCAAAAAAAACAAAACAAAACAAAACATTTTTTTCTTTCTTTTCTCTCTCTCTCTCTCTCTCTCTCTCTCTCTCTCTCTCTCTCTCTCCCTCTTCCTCTCCCTCTCTCCCCCCCCCCCCCCCTTCCCTCCCTCTCTCCCTCCCCCCTTTCTTTCTTTGGATACAGGGTCTCATTACAGTTTGTGCTGGCCCTCTGCTCATGTTTGTAGCCCCTAGGCTGGTCTGGAACTCGAAGCGATCTTCCTGTCTTAACCTCCCTAGTGCTGGGATTACAGGCATGCACCACCATGCCTGGTTCTGGGCCAGCATGGCGTGTGGTACTAGGGACATTTTGAGCTCGCCAGACAGGCATTTATGCCACCCAGCTATCTCCCCAGCCCAAACATCTTTTTTTTTTATGTCAGTCATCTGAGTGGACAAGGAATTGCCAGTCCTACCAAGATGGTTTTTGAAGCAAAGTATGGTACAAAAGGGAGAAAGTGTAAAAGGTTGCACTTTCATAAGACTGTCCTGTGTAAATTCTTTGCTGTGCATTTCTTCTTCCAGTTTTACTTCAAGGTAGCAATGCCTGGACATTAGCATTTAGAAAACTGTCTTAGTACACAGTATAAAGCTCCATTCATTTTGAATGACATTTGGACCTCACATGGGTTGCTTGGTTTTGAACTAGTGAATTCAAGTCAGAAAATCTTACTGACATCTGGTATTTTTCTCTATACTTTGCTAAACCCTCGTGGACAGAAACACTAGTCATTGTCTTCAGAAAGTGTCTGATCTAGTGACCATGTGGTTGTGGTGGAATCAGACAAATTACTATCATGCCAGTGAAGTATCAACACAGGGAGATTTTCCTCAGACGGAGGGCATGTAGGCCCATTTGAAATAAATCTCAGAAGATGAGTAGATTGGCCTAGGATGGCTCCTTCTGTTGGCAGAGGGACAGCGTGGCTGGTGTTCACATATTTTATAATGAAGGCATGGGAGGTAATGCCAAAGGAAGGCCAAGGTGATGCTGGTACACCTGGTATGACTGACAGTCTAGCTCAGTGGTTAGCAGTGTTGAGCTTATCAAACTAGAAATTGACTCCCAACTCAACCTTGATATGTGACTGTGAACAGATTGCTTCATTTTTTCTTAGCTCACTTATTTGATAAATGAGCATAGTGCTCAAACAACTTTACTGCAATGGTGTATGAATGAAAAAGAGATAGTGAGTAATACAGGTCTCAGTGTTTTACATGTTCCTGTAGCGGTACTGGACTGTGAGGAGCATGGACAGCCTAATTCATGCAAGTCTTCGATTTTGATTTTTGCTAATGATGTATGTACAGCAGATCTCCTACATTTACGGCGTACAATCTGATTAGGTTTTTATGTATCAAATCATCACCACAATCAAATGAAAAACACACTCATCACTTTTAAGAAATTTGGCGTAAGATGTTTAAAGTAGAAAGTCTGGTTTGGAATGTGCAGGAAAATGGAGTGAGGGAATGACTGAAAGTGGAGAAATACGTAAGTTCAGAGACCACTGCTAGGTTCCAGGGAGGGGCCGGTAAGGCCGGGCACCAGGTGAGGGGGTTGGAGACGGGGCTGCAGGAGGACAGGCCTGAGGTGCCAGCATGCCCTGATCCCCATTCCTGCCTGGTGCCCAGAAGACAGTGGCTCTCGTGCCCCAGGCAGGCTTTCCTGCTGTGAAAGAGTCCTCTTTTAAAGTGTTTCTCCTTTCATTCTGTTTAGGGCTCAAGAGACAATCTCGCTTGTGGGACATCCAGCCTGACAGCCACCAAACAGTTGCTCCGTCCAAGAATCACAAGAGTCTGCCTCAGGGACTTGATATTCTGTATGGAACAGGAAAGGGACATGAAGTACTCTCGGGCTCTGTACCTTGCCCTTCTGAAGTGACTGCTCTTCTCACTGTCCAGATCCTTGTTGTTTACTGCCAAAGAAGACCAAAAGAGCATGGTTGCACTGTCCTGACATCTCAGTTTCTGGAGAACAGTCACCAACATGGAAGACCACTGTTTTCCGTTAATAAGCTTTTCTTAAATTTTACTGTACATCTCATAGGGTTCTTTTTTTTTTTAAATTTATGCACTTGGTACAGGGTCTCACTATGCAGCTTGGATTCATAGTGATCCTCCTGTTTTCAGCCTCCCCAGTACTGGGATTACAGGCGTGCACCACCATGCCCAGTCTTGGTGACTGGCTTAGCGTGCCCCAAGGGTGGGGCTGATGCAGCATGTGGTACTAGGAATCAAACCCCGGTCCCTGCGCTTGCCTAAGCGGGCGCTTAGTCCGCTGAGCTATCTTGCTGGCCCTCATGGGGTCCTTATAGACCAGAACTCCTCATTCATTGCCCTCTGAATATCGGTTATGAAGTACACTTTATGCAGAAGTAGCAGCTGCTACCTGAGTGTTTAATTACAGCAGGCTAAGGCCCTGCTTGTTACTACCTGCTTCCTTTACCTGACTGTAACATGAGGTGTCTCCCCTGGTAGCTGCCTAGCCCAGCCTGTGTGGAGATGCTGAGGAAAGGAAGAAGCACCGCTTGCGAGAAGAATGTATTTCATCCTAAACTGAGCCTGCCTCCAATGTTAGGTTTCCCGTGCTGGAGTCCCAAGTTGCTTACTTAATCATAGCAGTCACCTTCTGTAGCTCAATGTGACAGACCACTGTGTCGACCTGGCTGAGCCCCACGGTTGTCAGAATGAGACTGGTGGGGACAGTGTGTGCCTGAGGTTGCCAGTTGTTTGACTCCTCTCTCCATGTGCTGCTTCTATTCTAAGTGAGAGGATGTCCTTGTCAGGGAAGCCTTCATATTGAAGCTGCTGCAGATATACCTCGTTGGAGATGGAAAAGAAGGAATGGTGAGGTACTGAGTTTAGACTGAGCAGGGGAAAATGAAAATGGATCCGCACAACAGGAAGTGGCTGCCCACGCCCAAACAGGAAGGGGTGCGCTTTGCTGATGGAAAAGGAAGTCATAGCCTTGCCAAGAAAGGAGAGTGTGTGAAACGTTTTGAATTACATTGCTATTTCAAAAGGAAGTCTTTTTTTTTTTCTGTGTATTATTTTAAATTCCAAGGAGGATAGGATGGTTTGAGCAGTTCCTTCTCCTTGAAAAAAATTTTAGTTACCTTAAATTTTAAGCATCATGGTACATTTAAAAAATCCTAATGGATGGTTAGAAATTTTCAGCAGTAGGAGTCCCCTTTGGATTCTGTACTTAAAAGGTGCTGTCGGGTTTGGAGCCTGGGTTCTTGGCTCCAAATGTGAGAAGCGTGTGCAGTGATTGAGACACAGGTCCTTGGGGAGGAGGCTGATGTGCAGAGAGACCCTCTTTTTTTTTTTTTTTTTTAATTCCACCTGTGTGGATCCGAACTGATGAATAGTTGTTGCTAGAATCACGTATACCAAGAAGTTTGAAATTCTCCAAGAAGGTTTTAAAGGTAGGAAAAGCTGTGCTGCTCAGAAGAGCAATTCAGGGGAACAAAGTCCCCTCCAGTATGTCACTCTTTATTTTGTTCTCATTGGGACTGTTATGGTAGTATACAATGGTAGGATTATAGTGGGCCACATTGTTTGTTTCAACAAGTTATATAAAATGCTGTAAATTATGTATGTTAAAAAAGTTAAGGAGAGATCTATACCCAAAGTTGTTTTGTATATTTAAATGCTTAGCTTTATTTTTTTGTAAAGTGCAGCATACTCTGACATTTGTGTATAATCTTATTGATCAGATGTTTAAAATTATTTCAAATACTTCATTAAAATAATTATTTTATTATAAGAACAACCTTGCCCTGTCATTGACTTAGAAAGCCAGTTCTCAGCAGTAGCCAGTCCTGGGAAGGCTCGACTGTGCCAGGGGTGTGCGGCTCCCTTTGCCCTGGTGGGTGTTTATTTTGGAGTGTCAGCATTTGGGTTCCAGAGCTTTGCTTCAGGTTGCAGTTGCTGTATCGCTTTCTTTGAAACAGTTATACATTCACATGCCTTCTGACTCCAAACTCAGCTGAAGTGTATTCATTACAAGAGCTTTTCTTGGCTCAGCAAGGTTTCCTTTACTAAGATTCTTGCTTTCAAAATGTATTTTGAGTGGACAGTTTGAAACTTTGTGTTGTGGGCCTATCCTGCACACAGGGGGCGCTGAGGGCACCCAAAGTCACTTTCCACTCAGTTGCAAAAATGTGGCCTCCGGGTAGATTTGATCTACAGATAGGCTTTGTTTGGCATGCAGTTTTAATTCACAAAATCTATATTTCCATTTCTTTTGAAAGTCAGAAGACCTGTAGTTGCTCAGTACACCCTTATCGTGGCAGCTGACAGGAGGGAGCCCGTGGCGCTCTACTCACATGGGCAGGTAAGCCCTCCCTCTCCAGGTCCTTTAAGCCCTGGAGGTTGTAATCACCTGCCTGTGCTCAGTACTTACTGTAGGGGATGAACAGTGAAAGGGGAAAGCATCAGAAACTCCCCACTTATTTTTTAATGCAACTCAATGAGGTACATTATATATTAAACATTTCATCCATTCACTTGTAACTAACCTTTTAAGTGGTATCCCACACACCTATGAGAGTCTTCCTCTAGAAACAAGCAATGTTTAACATTCTATTCCTGTGTCTCTTTTTTTTAAGAGAATAAAAAAAATAGTAAAAAACATTAGAAACAATACACAATTTCACTATAAACGTAACGATAGTTGTTATATTGCGTATTGCCTTCAAATTAGTTGTTCAGATTACCAGATATAAGCATACAATATTGGTCAAAAAATGAAAAAGAAAGAAAAAAAATTAAGTATGAACTATTCCTTATAGTAGACCAGTAGAAGCCAGCAGTACAGTTATCCAAGCTAGCCTGAGTATGTACTTAAGTGTACTTTTTCCCTTCTTTCTTTTCTGTTAAGACCTTTTATAGTGATATATCATGGTTGCAGCAGAGAACCCATGATAAGGCATACTTTTTAGGAAGCTGCTGGAACCCAAGTCTCAGGCTGATTAGATTGGACTTGATCTGTTTGCTTAGTTGTATAGTAAGCCAACTAAATGTTTATAAAACTGTTCTCAACGAGACCTAGTGACAGTAGGAGACAAAGGTTTAGTGTGTAACACGTTTGTACACGTTACCTAGCAGCTAGATTTTATTTTTGACATTCCTGTCTTTTCGAGCTCTTTCCTGTGCCTTCCCAAACTGACACAAATGTTTGTGTTTTTACTTATGGGCATTATGAATATTTGATATCTTTTCCTCTGACTGCTTCAAACATGGTAGTTTGTTCATATGCATTTCAGCTGTATTATATTGCTGCCTTTTAGCTGTGACTCTGCTCAGTCCCCACCCCAGAACTGGGGACTGAACCCAGAGCCCGTGCACTTGGACTGAGCTGCATCACTAGCCCTTTTATTTCTTGTTTAGAGACTGGGTTGCTCAGGCTGGCCTTAACCCTGCAGTTCTCCTGCCCCGTTGGAATTACGGGTTTGCACCACTGCACCTGGTTACCTTTTTCACTAAAGTTATTTCACCATTTACAAATTGGCCTCAAAATATTTTTCTTTGGGAAAACAATGAGAAACTGTTATGCAAATAAGAATCTTAAGATAGTCCTGTCCGTGAGCCCTGGCTGGGTAGATACAGTGAACAGTGGATCTGTAGGAGGGTCAGGATTTATGGAGATTTTGCTGCGTGGGACATTCAGGAAAAATAAAATACCCCCAAGAAGCTCAGTTTCGTGGATCTAGCATGATGAGAGTGATGTGAATGGCAGCTCTTAAGATAATAATGCCATTTGTGCATCTTGCTAAGGTCCCCTGCTGCAGGTGGCATGCAGGCAGTACTGCATGGCCTGTACGAGAAGATACCCTGACCACCCACCTCTGTCCTGCTTTTCTCCAGAGTGAGACCTCAAGCACATTCTTGGTGCCTTTCTTCATCTATAAGTAGTGCCTTGGTGGGGAGGTGGTTGTGAGAATTGAATGAGTGGTCCTACGTGTGTCATGTGTCATAGACATTGTATGTTGGTCATGCTTGCTATGATTGGTAGATATTAAGTGACATACTTTACCTGCTGTCTACCTGTAGTTCTGTAGTATACTGATGAAAGCCACTGGCTGAATGCATGAATCTTAGTGTAAGTATAACTAAGATTATGTACCTTCCTATGTATTGCATTGGAGATTGGCATAGCAGGCTGAAAGCAGGAATATATGAATGACACAGAGGGATCATTTCAGAGTGACTTTGTTGTTGTGGTTCATAGCATTGAACTCCGGGCCTTGTGCATGCTTAGCATGCGCTTTGTCACTGATGCCTCAGCTCCCTGAATAATTATTATGTTCCAAGCTTTGCCTCCTGTAGAGTTGGAAGCGGTAACTTCCATTAATTCCAAAGTCTTTTTTTTCCAAGCTGCTCTTTATTTATT